TCGGGGAACAAACACCAAATGATATGAATACATAAATAAAGAAACCAGGACAAACAATCGAAACCATTTTGGGGACATTATTTCACGACACCCAAAGTTTGTAAAATACTAGCATTTAGTTTTGTCCCTAATTTGCTATATAAACCATAAGCTTTTGTTTGATGTGTGATTCATCTCCATACCCTTTTCTTTCATGAAGCTGTTGTAATTTAAACGTGACCTCTTGTTCTCCATGTTTCTACATCAATGTCCAGATTGGACATAATTGTGTTTTTTTGCTTGTTCGTGCATTATGGCCGTGTTATTCATCTACTTATTCCCATATCTTGTTACACCGATCTGAATCAGGAATAAGTTAAGTAGTTTTCCAGTTGACTTGTCTTCCCTCTTGCTCTCTCGTTTGCCAACCAATAAGGTGGTAGAAAAGTTTTCATCCTTCTGTCCAATGCCGTTAGTGTCGATTCGAACTCACTCATTTCTGGCCCCAAGGTTGAACCACTGTGTTTGTTGTGTCAAGGCATTAGCCTGGATCCAGACAAGCCCTCTCCTGTATGTTATTGAGCAAATAGATCAAGGACGCAACATTATGCCTGCTGTATTTTATCCAGCGCTGAACGAAAATCTTAGACATTAGGTGGGAACTACTACAGTCAAAACAACAAAAATTCTCTTCAAAATTTCGAGGAAAAGGTTCACTCGACCTGCATTTTTGCCACAGTTAGCGCAAGATCCTAGATGATAGAGTACCAAAACTTCTAGACTTGCTGATTTGGGACACCTCTAGAGGGGAATTACCCAAGTTATGTGTGTGGTGTTTAACATATTTCAGACGGGCCACTTTACAACCTTCAGTGTTAACAGTAAATCCGTCGTTATCCGCCCACCTTTTAAGTCAAGTCAGATCTGTAGAACTATGGTATACTATGATATTAGTACTGCTCTAATAATAGACCTAATCCTAAATTTGTAGATTTGTCATGATATAACTGCCTAATCTATAAGATCTTACGTGGAAGTCACACCACCGACTACACCAACTCACTGTATCGCATCAATTACCAATACATGATGTAGAGCAAGGTTAGGCTAGAGAAAGAACAATATATTTAATATGAATAGAAGATATAAGATAACATAAAGGAGGGAGGGTGGAGTTACTGACCAACAAGCATTGATGGTGAGGGCGATAGCTTCAATCCACCCGTGTTTTTGGGGACAACATTTTGTGTGTATCAGGCTCTTTATAATTGAGAAGAAGACAGTCAATCTAAGATATAGATTTTCTTCCTACGCTCACCACTCAGACTCATGTTTCCAATAATATGCTGGATTAGCTATTCTACTAAGACAACCTATAACATGCTAACTTGGACTTTTACACTAGGATTGCGTGGCTGACATTGGATGGACAAAAAAAGAAAAAAGACAATAAAAGATATAGTCACTAGTATTCTTAACACTTAACCCTCTATATACACACCCTTCTAATAAACCGCTTCGCTTGTACCAACCTTGACTTCCCTTCCTTCGTGTGAGCTTACTCCAACTTGTTAAACATCATAACTCGTTGTTCTTTATTAGTACATTCTCTAATATGGAGCCTCTGACTTCACTTCATTCTAACAAGACATTCAATGAATTTGTTCTAATTTATTATACCTCTGTCCGTTCTACTACACAATGTTAAGCAACCTTTGGCGTTCATAGCCAAGTGCCTTGCTGCTCTTCTGTTTCTCTTTTTTTTCTCCTTCAGAATTTTGCTCTGAGAGCACAGCTATGAAACTTCTGACGTTTGGAGCAAACTTGACGTACGCGTCCTCCCAAGGTCATAGTTTACAGCAAGCGCTCTACGATTTCACTTTATAGCAACTATAAACTTAATAAGTTGGGAAGCATTTTGCGAACCAACAAATGTTATAATTTATAGATCATACCTGCACATGCAGAAATATATTATTATTATTATTATTATATTTAACATGAATAGAAGATATAAGGCAACATTCAGCAGAGACCACGCCTGCATGGTCGAGCCATGCCACTCGATCAACTCCAGTCCGTTCAATTCATTGTTCGCACCTTCTCCATTCTTAGGTATTTCTCCGTCTTAAATACTGAATATCTATTTTCCGAGTAGTGTTGTGTTCAGCTTTGAAGATTGTATGGTTATGGTCCATTGCCACTACAGATCCTCCTAAAGTGCCAGATTATCATCTTGGTCTTGAACTTCTCTCCAAGGTTTAAAAGTGTTAGGGTGAAGTAGCATCTCGGATGACACTAGACGGAGAAGTTCATTCGTATGGATTAAAATGAGAAGAGGTCCTAGTACAGTACGCTGGAGGACCCTACCAGGACATTGTGCAGCCCAATTAAAGTAAAGTATGCTATGGTCCTAAAACGTCGATTATTTAGATATGAAGCGAACCGAACGACTAACGTTGACACGAAATTCAGCAGGTTTAGCTTGTTGACGAGACATGTATGACTGACTCTATCAAAAGATTTAGACAAGTCAAGTTGTCACACCTGGTGTCCTCTTTCGATCATTTACGGTCGTCCATCTATGCACAACATTTAGCAAGGTTGTTTTGAGGGAGTGACCCCTCCTGGAACTGTGTTTTAGGGCAAAAAAGAAAGTTATGGAAAAATGTGTTCATGTGAAATTTTGCATATCAAAGAATCCATAACATTTGGAGGTATTGAAAGAAGCATTACCGACCGCTAACTTGAAGGTTCATTGTGCCGACCCCCGTTCGCAAATTTGAGTAATGCGCATCAGCTCCCAAGCGTCCAGGAACATGCCTCAAGTTAGAGAGTGTGAGGAAGTTACACCAAGTGGTGTTGCCAAGATCGAAGCCGTTTTTCTTAGTATATCAAAGTGAACCATATCAGAAACAAGAAGAGTGTCCACGCTTAGATTTCACAGTTTCTTTGGTGAAACTAGCTTAAGGTTGTAAATAGAGCCCTCATTTATAGGGGTTATATGCGAAGGCCTAAAAGTTTAAAGGTACCACTTTGTGGAGTCATTATCGTTGTTGTTGAGCCATCAGGACCTCACAGCTGGGGAAATCCGTTCTGCCTTGTCGCAGAGGCTTGCATGTGGAAATAAACATTTTGTATTGGAATCGCGTTTGGCGATTGGTTTGATCTGGTGCTGGAGCAGGTCCATTGAAGTCTTTGCGCATTGTGTCCATGGTAAGTTGAAATGCCCACATATGCTGAAACTTAATCAGCAAAAGTTTCGAAAGGACAGGGGGCTTGTGTTATTCCTGGCAATGGTGGTCTCAGTTGACCCGACTTCCTGTCGAGATCGTCGACAGACAGAGCTTCATTCATGTGTTGAGGTAATGAATCCCATTCCTTGATGATCCAACTGGATAGTCAGGTGACAACTAGTTTATTCTGGGCTTATGAACATTTTAAGTGTCCTCGTAAGTTTACTGTTTTGGAAGACAAGAAAATTGTGGACACATCAGATGCGAACTTACCGCTAAGTTGTTTAAAAACTGTGATCAAGTCACCTCTGGTTCTTCTATATGACAATGAGAATTGGTTTAGTTTGGCCAGTCTGCTATCATACAGGAGCTTCTCTATTCCGAGGATCAGTTTAGTTGCAGTTCTTCGAACCTTTTCCAACAGCTCACTCTCTTTAGGCAGGGACTATCTGCTTGCATGCAGTGCTAGAGTTTAGGACGAACAAGCACTGTATACAAAGTCGAAAAGATTTTAGAATGGACGTAGTTGAATACTAACACACAGACTATAGGGTTGGAAGACCTTTGCGGCAATTGTATGGGAGTATGCAGTAGCTCTTAAGTCATAGCCCCGAGGTGCCGTAGTATGGCGGGGGTGGTGTGAATCCGCGCGCCCATGCGTGTACAGCCACTAACAGGGAAGTCCTACTCACTGCCTTCTCGTGGTGAGGGTGTTTACAAAATTGAGAGGACGAAAAGTGTATGCCCAACGACCGACTACCTCGACGTGCTATGCTCAGTGGTATAGGAGTAGGTTGGAAGAAAGCTAGGGGCGGCCAAACCAAAACATGGCACAAGTCCATGAAGTCACTGACAAGTGGACTGAGTCATGTTGGTAGGTGTAGACTACCTGGTTGGGGACCGCGAGATGATAGTAACCGATGGTTAGAGACCCTGAATGACATGGCTCAAAATCGTTTGCAATGGCGCAGGTGCATCCACTCTCTGTGTTCTCCCAAATTCTAATCTTTTGAATTCATGTCCCTTTTTTCCTCTTTCCAAATTTATTTCACTGGATTATACTCTTTAAATAACATCTCCAAACCCTAATCTTCCCGATTACTGCTTATACTCTTATTACCTCTACCACTACGGGATTTGAATCGACAACTGCATCTCTGTGCTAATGTGGTGTGGCAACTCGAACTGATGTACGTACGTACGAAGTTCTACGTTGTTACTGGCTGACTGGACGAAAAGCGAGTGTCCGGCACTTTAACCGGGTCGATGGATATAGAGGATCCACCTAGTGTAGTTGGGAAACCCTGATTCCAAACCAATGGTGCAAATGGGCTCCCGGATCCTGGGGAGGGGGTAAATGACGTGTGAACCGATTGTTGGTTACCGGCTACCATGGAATTACATCTCCTCACGCTGTCTCACTGTCTTATGGATTAGACCTTTAGGTCGAAGGATCCGAGTGTGGCTTTCGCCAACTTACGTCACCTGTGGCGAAGGCGAGATATCCGTCTATCAATCAAGTGATCTATGTGGCGCATATGTATTTGGTGCCTCCTTGTACTAATGTTTATGCGTTCAAATAAATAAATAAACCTACTACGGCGTTCTTATGGTCTTTTTGCAATCTACTTAGGGTTACATTTAGGTCCAAATATATACTTAAGGGATTAACGATGAAATTTGGCAGTTCGTTTATTAACCTAGATGCGTTTCTAACTTTTGCTATTTTTCCTTATTGCAGCCGTGGGAGGCGGCGACTATTTATTAACATAAAGATCCAGTCACATGTCGAAACGCTCTGGCTTAGGTGTGGTATGTCATATTTGTCCAGCTACTTAACTAGAAGTAAGATCACTAGCGAAGAGTTATCAAAACCTTTAAAATTGTCAAAGCCATCTTTGGATAGTGATGAAGAAGACTACAACGATAAAGATTGTTTCCGATTACATGAAGCAGATATAGATGGTATCTGGTTGTTTACTGTATATTATTCTACAAGGTCAGGAAGCTACGACTCTAGAGTATGATGATGAAGTTAAAATAACTCCATTTAACATGAAAGAAGAGCTTGAGGAAGACGGTCACTTCGATTCCGCTGGCACTTTCATTTTCAAGAAAGTTAGTAGAAAAATTATGATTAACGGTTACTGTTATTATAGCAAGTTGATGCTCGTGATAATTGGTTAGAAGATATTAATTGGCTAGAAGTCAAGAAAAACCAGGAAAAGAATTCATTGAAAGACACATCGATAAGCGATGAACTCGGCGGGAAAGTGCTAAGTAAAGAGGAGAAACTCGCTTTGTACCAAGAACTCTTATCTTATTTACAACCTTCTGAGACCGTTCTGCGCAGTATCAGACGTATGGGTGCCTGTTCAGATGCTAAGAAGTCCGCTTCAGCCAGCCAACGCTGGCTACGAAATAAAAATCCGAAAACTAAAACTGAGACGTAAGTGTCACATATGGTGTTGTACTTGAGGTTATGGCATACGTATTCCAGTATATCATGTTGTGTTAGAGATGATGTCTAAACAACTCATTACAATTGTGATACGAATTAAAGTGCAGCGTTCCATTTATTTCTAATATTTATTCACCATCGGTGAAATGGAATAATGATACGAACATCATGGAGAAATATTTCACTCTTTATGTAATTAGAGAAACCCATCGAAACATTCGGAATTGGAAGTATCATTTACTGAAAGGGTACAGCCGTATTTGTAATTATTTAGCACACACAAGTCTGTACTAAAATAGGTGTTACATTTAAAAAGTGGTCGGAAGTGTTTTCAAGTACTGAAAAACGTTAAGTGGAAATAGATTATAGATAGAAGATAAGTCTCTGCTCACAGAATATTGGGAAAATGCGGATAAACAAAAAGAGGGGTCATAGCCTCTGAGGTTATAAAAACTAATATTATTTTTCTATGACCAAGGTAATGTGAGGACTTGGAGATCTCGTTCTTAGAAAAATCGGTCTTTAAATAGTTATTTCTCAACAATCATATCTTTCGAAATTCAATAAATGTATCATTCACTAGTAGAACATGGTAGTGAAACAGATTTATACACTGTTTTCTCTCACATTCATGATGTAAACGGTAAGAAAAACTAATTCCATGTCCAAACCAAATTAGTTGAATTGAAAAATAGTCCCTCTGACTTAGCGATTCAGGCACTTTACCTTCTAATCATTATGTCGTGGCTCCACGTTATGGAACCGGAATATTACCCAAATTCAGTTCAGGTGTGTACTAGTGTATATTCATTGTATGACTCATAATATGCTGGGATCTTGAGATGTCTAGGTAGTAACAGTCATACTTGTATATTCAGGACAAATTGTTCTAAGAAACATTTTCATCCTTGAAAGTTATATTTACTACATTCGCTTAGTTATCGTAGGCAGATCGGATATATGTTTTTTTTAAAAACATATTCTAGCGGCAATCCAGAAGGATTAATTCGTGTTACTGAATTAGCTGACCAACTTGTTCAAGGCGGAGATTTTGATGTTTATCAAAAAACATTCGACGATATCAAAAAACTGATAGAATGTACAAAACAATTCGCAGCAGATGATGAACTTGAAGTCCTCGGTCAGGCATTTGATGAAAAGCAAGCTGACGATAAAGGTTTGTTGTTTTTACCTGAAAAATGAGCTTCAATCTATACTTTGTAATAAAATTAGTAAGCATTATCGTAGCGGTAATATTCAAGACTACAGCTTTCAGCGTTTTGGTTTGAAATTCTCAAGACAGCACTGTCTTGTAATTTTCGAAGACATTTCGCTACATCTACTGAATACGTGATTAATTTAAATTAAATGAAATAGAATTTTTTGTAGTTCATTTAGATATAGTTAGCGACTTTCAATCCGTATCGCGGTGACGTTAAAATTAGTGACTTTCAAGATATTATCTAGGAAATAACTATGGTTTCCATGTTTGACCTAGAAGAAAACGTTTATAAAGACAGTCTACTCATTTTAATCCTTTCAAGGATATTTGCACTTAAATGTTACAAAACATCAGTCACTAAAGAGTGTTAACTACAGGCAGGCTAAAACCATTTCTTTTCTCAAGAAAAGTATTTATAATCACCTTCCATATTTTCTTACCCTATTTCTCTTGCTATGTATCCGGAATCACTCCATGGTTAAATACTTTTGATCGATTAGATTAAATATTAAACGTTGTTAACTCTTCGCTTGATCATCTTATGAGGTACTTATTTGTATTGGAAAAAAAGCAAAACTGTAAGACTGAACACAAACTTGCTTTGGTTCCAGTTATTAGACGATATCAATTCTGTAAGGGAAAACTAATAAGAGATGAAGTAAAGTGAATAGGAAACAATTTAAAAAACGAACAAAAGTCACGAAATGGTACTGCTTACCCTAAACAGCGAGAACATCATAAGTCGAAGTAGTACATTTTAGCTGCTGAGACAGTGAGCTTGCTCATAGTCACTTTGAATCACAGCTAATCGTCCATAAGTGTTAGAGGGATATATATTAGATCAGAGCATGTTTTGTGCAGGATTGTGTTTGGGCACGCTAATTGGCTATTTTTTGATTAACCAGCTCTAAGGAGTACTTGGAGGAGACTGTCGAATCTTCCCATGTAAAAATCATGAATATGCTCTCATTTTTTAAAATTTTGATTCCTACTTCCATCCACCCTTGTTATATGAAATGCAATTGCATTCATGTTCAACCGTGTTCTGATTTGGGGACTTGTCGAGTGAAGTGGTGTCCAAGAAAACTAAGCAATAAGAGTAGCTGAGTCGTAATAAGAGAAACCATAACAATAGGCTAGATTATATATATAATCCAGCTATCGGTCTACCCCAACAATGAATAGCAGACAATAGGATATTACACAAATTTGTAAGCTTCATCGGCAATTACACTGGTTCCGTTGATTAATAGCAGTATACAGGGGATCGAAACTAAATATAATTCCTCTCATACATCTTGCACGATTTGTTAAGTCACACTTCTGTTTTGTCGACATGTATATGTGGCTAATAACTTGTATTAACCTATAAGATTTGTAAAACTAGTTAAGTTTCATATTTGGATAGAAAATAGGAATTTCTGATAAATCTGTGGGTAATTTTCAATGTCTACTTAGTTGGTACTGATCATCTTCAAAATTGTATTTATGACTGTCGCTGATGTCAACTAGTTATTGGAAATTCTGATGACAAGTCATAATGTCTAGTGTCAGTCAAGTATTGTATGATATCTGTAGCAAGCATAGAACATACTTTGTTGTCTTTTGGGTGGAATTAATAATTAACTCTCATAAAACTTGTCGTATTAGTCTAAAGATATATATCCTGTACATAAGGCTCAGAAACATTATTGAGATCAAATACACTATGCAAAGAATGATCGCTTCAATCAATTTCTAATTTCCTTGTATGGTTGATTTTGTAAAATAGTTGACCTTATTCATGTTCAAATTTCTAAAATGCTTATTAGGTGGAATCAAATCAACCGAAGAACATGATGGTACTGACCATGATGGCAGTAATAATAATACCTCAGTCATGTGGCATTTAAAACGTTCAAATAAACCAAATACAGAAATTGAAGGACCATACACATCTGAACAATTAAAAGTGTGGCTTCAAGATGGAACATTTAATGACGATGACAATATTTTAATACGTGAATCAACGAAGTCTGATGGACAATTCTATAACATCACACGTATTGACTTTGATTTGTATGAATGAGAGTAAATATTCACTTCTTCAATATTATGTTCCCTTCGTTTATGCGTTCTATTGTATATAGAAAAATTTGTGAATATATATGTTCGTTTTTTCTGTTGATTTCTTACCTTACCTTTCGCATAATTTTATTAGCATATTGAGAAAGAACATTTTATTCATGTCTGTTTAACGATCGATGTTGCAGCATTTATGGAATGGTAACAGTTTTTTTACCGAAAATCGGGGAATTAAGTATTTTACACTCTTCACGCAGTGTTTCGTGAGAAGGGTGAAAACTAACTAATATTGATCGGAGAACTTGAAATTAAACAATTAATATTTCGTCTCACGAATCTCCAGTACTTGCCTACTCCTTTTACGCCTCGTAAAGCATAGGCAACCAACCAGGATTCTCCAACCAATCCTTACGAAAATCAATCTATTGATATCAAAATTGAGCATCTACGGAGTTCTTTATTCCGTTCAACAGCACTGTGTTGGGAATGTTTCCTGGTACTGACAGTCGTGTGATGCCACTGTAGTTCTCAACTCTCCGAGATCCCTTTCTTTGGTATCTTGATGAGGTATCCTTCTTTCCAGTCTGTTGGTACTTGTTATTCCTCCAAAATGTTTTGAAGAGAACGTAGAACATCTTTGCAGTTACCTCTATTTAACTTAAATAAGTAAAAACTACGTGCTCTCTAATGACTAACTTTATGATTTAGCAGGTCATTGTTTTTTATGGAATTCGATCATGATTGGAGTGAGACAGTTTTCACTGGTGTTATCTTATAGTTTCGGTAGTAAATAAGGAATTGACTGAAGTCGGAACTGTGAACTACTGTATGCTGATTCAGTAGTCTAAGAATAATATTGTCCCTATTAAAACTGATGGTTGTGAATTCGATCTTTTTCACGGAATCTTAGAACAAAGCATTTTTACAGTGCTTAGTTGTTCTGCAGTGGTCATCGGTGCCCAATGGAATTTCCTTTTACAAAAACGAGACTTAGTCGTTATTAATAAACAACGGTTTCCGTCTAATCATATCTTCGGATCTTCATTAACGTAAAATCGACAGGAGTGTCACAAAGGACTAGTTTTTATGAAGGTAGTTCGTCTTCAAAGAACTAGTGTACATTGAAGTTAGTCTTACTTCTTATCTTAACCTCTGTTTTTTTAAACAGGTAACTGCAATAGAATAGAAGAATCTGGATAAGAAAGTCATTTCGACGAAATCATTTGATTGGGCTTTGCATTCGTGTTTATAGTTGTGTGGTAAATGTTTTTCAATACAAAAAATAGAAAAGATCGGACTTCTCTCCATAACAGTTCGAAACATTTTAACGTTTTCTTTAATACTCAGACTACTAACATTAGGTGTTTTATTACTTTAAGTTGTAGACATCCGTAACACGGTATTTTTTATCCATAACAGTTGAAACCATGGCTATTTGTAGACGTTTGAAGCGGCCAAATTAAAGCCTAACGTAGCGTACCGAAAATGGTGCTGAAGTCTGGAGCTTCTTCTTTTATGTCTTTGTTGTTGTTACTTGTAGTGTTTGCAGCTATGCGGCTGTTTGCGGAAACATTGTCTTCTTCACAAATTTTGACAATCTTTGGCGGATTTTCCGGCAGTTTTGTCTTCGTTCTATTAATAACGGTATTAGTTTATTGTTGTTCAACTGACATTCTAGTTTGTAAATAATTTCGAAAGGACACTTTTTGGTGATGAGTTCTGCTCCAAAGTTTTCCCTGAAGGTATTATCGATTAAAATCTAACATACTTGGAGTGGTCATATGTATTTTTATTGCCTGTTCCTTCTCTGCGACTATACATCGCGTGTGCGGCACGACATGGTAAGATTGTATTGATATAACCTAAGTTATTTTAATGTTTTAAAATTTCGTACCGGTGCTAGTGATATTTCAAACTACTGGAATTCCTATTCCATAGTATTCTAAATGCCCTGGTATGGACGAGAGCGGGGAGGGTTCGCCCTCCTCGAAATGCTCTCACACGGCCACGCGTATACAGCCTCTGCCAGGGAAGTCCTACTCACTGCCTTCTCGTGGCGGGGGTCTTGTTTACAAAAATGAGAGGACGAAAAGTGAATGTCCGGCGCTTTAACCAGATCTCAAACCAATAGTGCACATGAGCTCCAGTATCCTGAGTGAACGAATGGCGTATGAACCAATTGTTGGTCATCGGCTACCATGGGAATGCATCTCCTCACGATGATCCACTGCCTTGTGGGTCAGACCTTTAGGTTAAGGGCTCGGGTCGTGGCCCCCTAAGAAAACCACCTGTTTCGGTCTGGGCACCCGGGCAGTATCAGCCCACACACACACAAATATGGTGTGGCGCATATATATTTGGTACCCTCTTGTACCAATATTTATGTGTTGAAATAGACAAATAAATAAAAAAAAGTGGAGAACAGGTTTTCAAAGTACTGGGCGGTTGTCTTGTCCTAGTGTGGGGTTCTTCAATAGCGCTCATCCACGGTTCCGCACGCAGGATTCGAATCGAGGACCCTCACCCTCGTACTCGAACTCAACCTCTAAACCATTAAGTCGGCATCCAACGGTGTTTATATCTAACTCCAATCGATCCATGATCTTTCGCAACCCTTCATTTATTATCTGATGTGAATAACTCATACACCCGACAATCTCCACTGATCCCGTTACTGATGAGTACATTAACCTTGTACTGGATCTCTACTATAACACTTTTCATCGAGACAAAGCTCATGGTGAACTGTCCTCGGAATTGGTTACTTCAAGTTGTGTTTGTCAGAATTGTCCTCCAGGAGTTTATCTTCTAACGGGAGGCTCACTTGTTGACTTAAAATACACAGATGACATGGTTCTGTTTTGTGAAGACGCTGACAAAATGCAATCTATTGACCACCCTTAGTAACAATGCAGACATATTTCAGATGCAGTTCTCTTCCTCCAAATGTTACTTCAGGATTGGTTGGCGGGATCGTTACGAAATAAAAAAACTCGGTTTGCTTATATCAACTTATATCACTTGTAGCAGAGGTAAGGTATCCATTCGCCAACTAAAGGCTAAGTTTGATGCTCAGTAATTCGGTCTGTTCTACTATATGTGTGTGAAGCATGGTCACTGATAATAGAGGACATTTATAGGTTACTTGTATAGCATAAAAAGACATCGTTTGATATGGTAAAATTTCTACAACTGACTCGAAGATAATCGCAAATGGATTTTATCGCGATCATTGATGAGGTAGCAAATGTTCATTAACTGAGGTGGTTGGGTCATGTGTTACGTACGCCCGACCACAGTCAGTCAGCTACAACGTAGGACCAGGCACATATGTGCATTGGTCCAGGTTGCCATACCTCATTAGCACAGCAAGATGAACAGCGGATTCATAGGAGTGGTTAGGTCAAAGGTTGCAATAAGGATATAGTATAGGAAGAAAGAATTAGTTCGTAGAAAGAAAGATATGAAGTGATTTTAATCTCTTAGTTTAAGGCTCTTTACTCGAACACTACTAGTCGAGTCAGGGCTTCTGGCGAACTGTCATCTACTTTTGCAACCTCAAGTGGTGTCCGTCAAGGCTGTCCACTGTCTCCATGTTTGTTTAACTTCATCATAGACCTATTGATGGAAATAACACTCTCGTCGACTGAATTCTCGGGTATTGATCTCCTTCCAGGAGGTCCACTTATCGACTTAGAATACGCAGATGACATAGTCCTGTTTGGTGAAGACGCTGACAAAATCCAGAGTCTTCTGGTAGCACTAAGCAACAATGCCAGGATGTTTGGAATGCGCTTCTCTCCCTCTAAATGCAAGTTGTTGCTTCAGGACTGGTCTGCGTCAACACGTGAACTAAGGATAGGGAGTGAAGTAGTTGAACGCGTTGACAACTTCACTTATCTTGGAAGTCTGATCAGTCATAATGGGTTGGTGTCTGACGAAATCTCAGCACGGATTCGAAAAGCTCGTTTGGGTTTTGCCAACTTACGTCACCTGTGGCGAAGGCGAGGTATCCGTCTATCAATAAAAGGACGAGTATACTGCGCGGCAGTCCGTTCTGTTTTAATTTACGGCAGCGAAACATGGCCATTAAGAGTAGAAGACACTCGTAAGCTATTAGTATTTGACCACAGACGCCTTAGAAATATTGCTCACATCTGCCTGGATCACCGGGTAAGTAATAGTGAGGTTAGACACTTGGTATTAGGTAATGATGGTAAATCAGTTGATGAGGTTGTTAATCTTCATCGACTGAGATGGTTGGGCCACGTGTTACGTATGCCTGAACATCGATTACCACGTCGTGCAATGCTAATGGGTGTTCGGGATGGTTGGAAGAGAATTAGGGGCGGCCAAACCAAAACGTGGCATCAGTGCTTGAAGACACTAACCTCTAGTCTGAGCCATGTTGGTAGATGCAGACTACTTGGTTGGGGTCCGCGTGACTATCGTAACCAATGGTTGGAGACTCTTGGTGACATGGCTCAGAATCGATCACAATGGTGTAGGTGTATACACTCCCTGTCTTCCCTTAAACTAAGAGATTAAAATCACTTCATATCTTTCTTTCTACGAACTAATTCTTTCTTGCTATACTATCTTTCTCCTATATATTACCACCTTTGACCTAACCACTCCTATGCGGTATGGCAACCTGGACCGATGCATATATGTACCTGGTCCTACGTTGTAGCTGACTGACTGACTGACTCATCAAATCCTGAGGTTTTAAATTTCCGGTGACTTGTTTTTTGTGTTTTGATTTCATCAATTGATATTTTCTTTTGGATTCGTATCTTCGGTGCCTAATTTTTCATAATACTACTGATACTGTTAATTTCTCTACTGTTCTGGGATTAAGCCTGACAACATCTCTGTGATAGTAGGCCATGGCAACTTGAACCAGTGTGCGTACGTACAGATTCTACGTTGTGACCGACTGACTGACAACCGATGTAGCTCGACCGTAGTAGCTATGGTCGGATCAATAAGTAATGTAACTTC